TAGGGTTTAGGATTTAGGGTCTAGGATTTAGGGTCTAGGATTTAGGGTTTAGGGTTTAGGATTTAGGGTCTAGGATTTAGGGTCTAGGATTTAGGGTTTAGGGTTTAGGATTTAGGGTCTAGGGTGTAAGGTGTAAGGGCCCAAAGCCCTGCATCCCATTGGTTTAGGGGGTTATGGGGTTTAAGGTTCAGGGATTAGGGGTTTAAGGGTTTAGGGGTTTAGAGTAGAGGTTTAGGGTTTTGGGTTTACGGCTTCAGGGTTTCAGTGTTGTTCGTGGTCGTGTGGTTAGGAGTGTTTTTCTTTGGTGTTGACCGTTTAGGCCCTAAGCCCTAGACCCCTAAACCCCTAAACCCCTAAACCCTAAACCCCTAAACCCCTAAACCCCTAAACCCCTAAACCCCCTCAACCCTAAACCCTAATTCCTAAAGTTTAAGGGTTACCCATCTAGGGCTTGGGATGAAGGGTCAGGGGTTTTGGGGCTTGTGGCCATCGGGCCATCTACCGGGCGCTATCCTATTCCAATTGCTGTCCCCTAAACCCTAAACCCTAACCGAGGGCAGCAGATGGGGTTTGGGCTCTAGGGTCGTCTGTTTTGAAGTTTCAGTTTCGGCTATGCCTGCAAGTAAGGTGTGCAGGGGCCGAAATAAATTGAGCATTCTTTGCAAGAATTTCAGGTGATATTAACCGACGTAAACTCTAAACCCAAAAGCCTAAACCCATAACCCCAGACTAAACCCTAAACCTTAAGATTTGTAGGGAACAAGCATGGTGACTTTCTCGAGCCCCTACATTCGCTTAGGTTCACACGGCTTTGAGCTTGACTTGAATGTTAAAGGCTTGCTCGGGTTTAGGGGGGTACTTTCCTTTCGAAGTGAGCGCCAGCCAAGAAGCCAAAAGCACCCTAAACCCAAGACCCAAAACCCAAAACCCTAAGCCCTTAAAGCAAATCTAGAACAGCCAGAACGCCAGTCCTTCAAAGCCAACCCCTTCACCCTAGTATTGCCCCAAACCTGGAGCACTTATCCTAAACTTGGTGTCTGGGGTTCCAGGGTGTAGGGTCTAGGTTTTTTAGGGTTTCAAGATAAGCAAACACCCTAAACCCTAAACCCTAAACCCTAAACCCTAAACCCCTAAACCCTAAACCCTAAACCCCTAAACCCCTAAACCCTAAACCCTAAACCCTAAACCCTAAACCTTCATCCAGAATCCTAGGCCAGAAGCCCAAAAGGCAAGTCTAACTCTGAAGCGAGGCGAAAAGTTCCGAGGCTACACAGGGTTTTTGATGCACCGAAGGTTTAGGGTTTAGGCGTTTGGGGTTTAGGGTTTCGGGTTTAGGGTTTAGAGTTTGGGGTTTAGGGTTTAGGGTTTAGGGTTGTCAAAGTCGTTACCAGAAGCGAGAATGACCAGGGAAGATTCCTTGTTCAGGGGTACTGGGCTCTCTGGGAGCACAGGTGTCTCAACAGCTTGGCACTTGTGTATGTAACCATTAGCCAAGAGGTGCTTTGGGGTAATGGAATCCCCATCTCATCCAAAACTTACTTTGTAGCTCTAGTGGCTCTAGTGAGAAACTGGACAAGTATATGCTTGGTTTCGGGTTTAGGGTTTGTTCTTCCGCCGCAGCATCGAATGACTGGGTCGTCGTGTGTCCAACCAACTGTCTACCCACGTTTTCCATACAATTGGAGACAGGACAGTACTAGGACAAGTTCATGGCTGATCCGATTGATTGCAGTGGAGGCCGAATATCTAGACGAACCCGGAGGTTTCTTGATGAAGAAAAGCGAGGCTGTGTGATCTTATATATCTCACAGGTGTGTACTTCTACCTTCCGGTACCTAGTTGCCGCCGCTATACTGATCGTCTCATTCTGCCGTCAAAAAAAGACGATGCTTCTTTAAAGACCATCCGTTTCACAACTTAACCCTGAAACCGAACCCCGAGCTTACACCCTAAAGCCAGTCCTGTGGGTGTTGTTTTGTCATTTCGCGGCATGAGCTGTTCGGATTACAGCAGAACCTTTAAGATGTGCGGGCTTCTCTAGACTGTGGTAGGGATTAAAGTTTAGAACTCACGGTCCTCATTTAAAAGCTGTCTAGGGAAATTTAGTGCAATCGACAAGATCCGGGTTCAGGGTTTAGGCAGGAAGAATTTCTGCTTGACCGGGTAAATGTCAAGATTGTGCTACAAATAGTTCCCTCGACATATGCGAAAAAGGTTAGGTTTACCTTACGACGTAGAGCAACGAAAATACATTCCTTCGCATGAAGAGCCCCCCCTCCCACCCATTTTTCAGAAAACGAAACGTACCAATCCGATATAAAGCGGAACCCCTGCCCTCCATCCGAACCTCCGAACCTCCGAACCCGAACCGGGTTGCACCAGAAAGATTCAGTGACAAACCCGATTCCAAAACCCTTCCTCAAACCCCTAAACCACTGAATCGAAATCCTTAACACCCTGGCTTAAACCCTTTACAAAGAGCTTTAAGGAAGACCAAGTTCTCGATGTGCACGGACGAGTTCCTGGCCCACCTGGCCTCTCTCGACAAAAAGGCAGCTTGGACACGTTTCGGGTTTCCAAGCGGGTAATGTGGTGCCTGAGCAATTCGTAAAACTATTCCGTTGGGTTCCTTGCCACAACTGTACGATGATACACCCCAAACCCAGACCTTACTCCAAGTATTACGGACCCAAACTTGGGGTTTGCAATCCTTTGCGTTGTTGGTCATCTTGAGAGAGTAAACCGTAAACATTCATAATTGCAAGCTTCTCCGGTTTCCTGTCAGTCGTCAGCGTGTTAGTTTTGCTTTGCAGCAGGATTTCACATTAAACCCGACATCTTGTACCCTAAGTTGCCTAAGCGCAAGAACTTTAAACCTTGAGTGGCAAACCCTCAACCCTAAACCCTAAACACCCCTTATCCAAAAACTGAAAAGCCAAACCCAAAAGCCTAAACCCTACGCCCCAAACCCTGAACCCTACACTCCAAACCCTAACCCCTAAACCCTGAACCCTAAACCTAGACTGCCCATAGCGCCGCTGACCCTTTGCATGGGTGCTCGAGGCTCCGACCGAGGCCCCCGGGCCGAGCGTCTCGTCAGAACGGTGAGGGAGGGTAAAGTCTGGCAATTGACGCCGCCCCGCTCATGATCTTTCTGCCGTCAGGCAGCAAAGAAGGACCCCAAAACCCACGACCGTTGATGTGTTTTTGTGTTCTTTGGGTGTGCCAGGACAAAAAAACACAGTTTTGGGTTCCGAGAACTTGCCAGGGCATCGCCCTAGAGGGCGACCTGCCCTGCCACGCCTCCCAACGCTCCAGGAGCCTTCTAGGCCGGTACTATAGGGGGCGATTGCCCATGAAGGGAAGATCGTCAACTTACGGCCCTCACATCCCAAGGCGCCAGAAGCCTTTTTCGGCGGGGCTTTCTTTGTCAAGGATACGTGTACACTTCGAGCGAACCTACCACAGGGGCAGATTGTTTGTTGGAAACCCTGCTTTCTCGTCGAGCGGGTGGTGCAGGCCGTGAGGACCGATAACCGGACGCCGATCCATCTCAGCTGTGGTTTGCTGTGAAACGTGGTCGTCGCCCTTGATGAGGGGTTTGTGTGGTGAGCCCTAAACCCCAGTTGAGAATAGTTGGGGTGGTTGGGGCGGGATTTCATGCTGACGCAAGCGCGCGATAAGTGGATGCGCCCCTATTCCTAAAGTAAAAGGCGCACCCACTGCGCGAAAATTGTATCCCTAAACTCTAAACCGTGAGCCATTAAACCCTAAATTCGTTTTCCGAAGCCTTAAACCTGAAGCTGGAAGCTCTAAATGCCCAACACCAAGTGTCAACACCAAACCCCGAATCCCAAGCTCTGATCCGTATGAGAGCTCTTGTCTCAAAGACCCCAGTCTTCAGCGGATTATAAAGGTGTTCTCACAATTCAGGGTTTAGGGTTTAGAGTCTAGGGGGTAGGGAATCTGCTTTGAAGGTGTGTTACGAGAAGTGGCCACAGGATTTGGGGGTTTGCTACCCTAAACCCCAAACCGTTGAACCCTCATCCCTAAACCCTTCGCTTCTGGACCCTTGATCCTTCTGGAGCCTCAGGCTGTTGTATAGGGTTAAGGGTTTTCAGAATGGCGTAGAGGGGTTGATGCTCGGGATATCAGAATAGAGGGTATCATATTGTTTACGTTGGGTTTTTTCAATTTTAGCATTGTCTAATGCGGTCCTAGGAACCTTACAGCTTTCAACAGCTTCTCAGCAGGAGTGAGGGGACGCTCAAATCCCAGGTCGTCAGCCCCTTTAAACCCTGGACCCGAAACCCTAGACTTAGGAAGCCCAAAGACTTCTGAGGCCGAAACCCTCGAAACCCTGGAGCCTCAGATAGCCGACTTGTAAACTGTAAACCACTGCGACAAAATGTCAGGGGATTTTCAGAAGAGGGCGGATTCTTCATCTGGACTCCAAATTTGAACCTGACTGTAGATCCGTAATATGGATTCCATATTACGGGTCCATAGTAGCCAGGTTCAAACTGGACCCTTGTTATAGGCCCGAGACATAGACGTTTCAGACCGACCAGAGGCAAAACTTATCAGAGACAGACCCTGAACTATTTACTGCAGACCGTTATACCACAGACCCTAAGTTCTATAAACCTCAAACCCTGACTCTTAAATCCTAAACCCACCACTCCCTGGTTCTTAGTAGAGACTGGGGAATGAGTTATAGGGACTACTACAAGGAATGGTAAAGGACATAATAAAGAGGCCTTGGCCATTATATTAGGATTTTGGGGTATATCATACTGCAATTAGAACAAGGAACCCCCCAAATAGCATTGGTAATTGTTAAAACTCCTAGAGCAGGATGCAGTGATCTTCGGGGTGGAGACCCACGTCTGTGTGCAGCAGACGGCTTTTGACCTCCTGAGTAAGGGCTTCCAGGCCCTTTTGGGGCCTCCTTGGTGGTAGTCTGATAAATTTAATATGTTTTTTGACAATTTCAATCAGGTGTTATAGGGCTTAGGCTTCTGTAATCTTATAAATATGGTTATCCAATAACAAGATTTCATAGGGTTTGTTGGGAGCTTTGGGTGTAGGGTTCAGGCAGGGGAAGGGTCTAGTGTTTACCTACCTACCAGCATCTTAGACCGTAGACCCGGGATCCGAAGACCATAGGCCCTCCAGATCCTAAGCCCTAAACCCCGACACCCTGCTGCGTTGGGTGTTAGGGCTTTCTGGCAGGCTTAGGGTTTTGCTGCTTTGGGGTGTGGGGTGTAAAGTGTACACTTGTAGGCTTGAGATTTTGGGCTGTCGGGTTTTTGTAGGGGTGAGGAAGGGGATCGATTGGGGTGGTGCTTTGGGGTTTCGTTCCAGGATGCAAACTTCATCTCTTGAAAATATGAACCCGTCGAGCCCTGGACCCCGAAGCCTAAACTTTAAAGCGTAAAACCCGAGCCCAAGAAAGGATGTAACCAGAAGAGGTAAACCCCCCAAGCGGACAATGGTCTACAAAGGAACTCTTTTCAAGTTCCGGTCTTGGGCCAGGGGTACAGGATTTAGGGTACAGGATTTAGGGTTCAGGGTTTAGGGTTCCGCATTTAGAGCTTAAGGTATACACCCTAAACCCTAAACCCTGCGGTTTACAACCGTCGCAAAATCCCAGGCGAAAAGCCTAGTGAAGCCAGCGAGACAAGGGACAAGGGTGACTCCAGCCAGCCTAGGCAAAGTAGCTGAGGCCTCAACCCAAACCATGCTAAAGGGTACTAAGAGTAATATTAAGAGTAATAATAGTATTAGTAATAGGAACAGAAGCAGTAGTAATAGCGATATGAATATTTATTAAGACTAACTACCACACTACTAATGAATATAAATACAGACTCAGAACCCGGCTCCCCCCCCCAACCCCAAACCCTCAAGACTACTATAAACCCTAGTGTGGCTCCTTTCAGAAACCCCTTGTGGATATCTAACCCCGGGTGAGGCCGCATCACAGACCTGCACACCCTCACATCCTTAACTCCAGGCCTCAGCCCTGTATCCTGAACACCGCGAAAGTCTAGATTCTATCAGCCCGATGCTCAAAACTCTCACCAAAAGCCCGAAGCCTATGAAGGACTAGGCAGACGGGAAAAGGTGCCTAAGAAGGCACTCTGAAAACCGTCTTTGTTGAAACACCCGAAGCCCTAAACCCTGAACCTTCATCCATGCCCGCAGGTTCGTGGGACTGTGTAAGTGAGGTCAGCAGTAACGTAACTGGCGAGTTATAAGTAGGAACATGTATAGATACCGTATCAAGCCTTAGTCACGAAGTCCAATGATCCTTGGAGTAACCCGGCAACCCCCATCATAGAACCCATATAGATCCCTTAAAGTATAGATCCCTTAGAGGAGGCCTTTAAGGAGTCCTCTCGGGAACCCTAGCCTAAACCCTAAACCCTAAACCCTAAACCCCCTAAACCCCAGTTGCTAAGCCGAAGCATCTGGAAGTCCTGGAGGTTCACGTCCTGGCAGATGGCGTTTCCTCCCAGCGGGCCCCCGACCGCGAGGTGTCTCTTGTTCTTTCTGGTCAGAGGTTAAGGGCAATCAGGTTTTTTTGGGGTGGTTTTGGGTCAAGGAGTTATAGGGTAGAGGGTTTAAGTTTAGGGTTTAGGGTTTTGGGTCAAGGGGTGATAGGGTATAGAGGTTTAAGGTCTACAAAGGTTTACGGTTTTGCAGGGCTTAGGCTCTTTTGAGCTTAAGCTTTCGAGTTCCTGTGGGTTTTGGGCTTGGGTTTTGAGACGGAGACCAGGCTCCAGGAATTTGGCTTGGGGTTTAGGGTTTAGGGTGGGTTTAGGGTTTAGGGTTTAGGGTTTAGGGTTTGGCTTGCATTGAGGGTGTTGGTAGGATTTAGGGTTGGGGTTTACGGCAGGGTGTTAGTTTAGAGAGTTGTTGTCTTATCAGGGCTATCGCTTTCGGGTTAACTAGAGTCTCGAAGGAGGATCATCCGCCTAGATCAAAAACGGCATTCACCAACATCAGCGCCGACGCCCTAAACCCAACTTGGGGCTTAACCCTGAAGCCACAAAACACCAAACTCTTGGGCACCTGGCATTGAGCTCTGAATAATGAGCCGGCAACATACCTGCCCTGGTGCTGCCCCATATACTAAGAAGCTGAAGACAGTGTTCTTATCATTATGGCTAAACCCTAAACCCTAAACCCGAAGCCCTAAACCCTAAACCCCAAGCCCTAAACCCCCTATCGACAACCCTCCAGTCCAAAGCATTTTCAGAGCCCTGTACTAAGGCCCGTGCCATGACCCGAGGGCTTTGTTTATGAGGTTCCTCAACACCCTCTTGACTTCATGCAGGTCCCTATCAGCCAACCCTAAAGAACAATTATGCAGCAGCTCATAAACCCTAAACCCTAAACCCCTAAACCCCTAAAGCCGAAAGGGGGCAGACGATCTCAAAGTTTCAGGTCGCCCTGCAACGTCTCCGGCAGGCCGTCGTTAGCACTACTTGCTGTTCGCTTGCTGTTGCTGGTAGCGGTTTAGGGTTTAGGGTTTAGGGTTTAGGGTTTAGGGTTTAGGGTTTAATGATGATCAGGAGATTCTCAGTGGGAAGAGGAGGCATCCTTCTAAGACCGCAGAAGTTGGATTACATCTTACATGTGGGTGGTTGTCAAAATTATGGTCCTGTAAACACTTCATCTCCAAACCTCAAACTCTCCGCAAGCCTTAGTACTCTTGGCAGAATCTTTTGGACTGGGAGCTTCTTTCTACCCAGCTCGGCTTCCGGAAACCGCCCAAACCATACCCAAATCCACTGGCCAGAGCAGCACGAATTGAAACCTCGTCAATCTTGGCATCCGCTGAACCCTCCAGCTTAGGGTTTAGGGTTTAGGGTTTAGGGTTTAGGGTTTAGGGTTTAGGGTTTAGGGTTTAGGGGTTAGGGTTTAGGGCTCAGGCCCCAAAGCCTTGCTTCTGTGGAAGCAGAGGGCCCAATACCGGCTCTTTGGTCCCTACTTAAAGGGTTTAGGGTTTAGGGTTTAGGGTTTAGGGTTTAGGGTTTCGGGGTTTACGGGTTAGGATTGAAGGTTATGGGACTTAGTAACTAGGGTCATGAATAAGGTAACTATACTTATAACGCCCATTAAGGTACTTATAACTGTACTTATTAAGTCCCGTGAACCTCCAAGTATACCCTGAACTCTATCTAGCAAAACCGTAAACCCGAGATGTTCAATCCGAAGCCCCGAACTCACAACCCTAGACGCCAAACACTTGTCATTGAAGGCCCTAAATCCCTAAAACCCAAAACTCTAAACCCCAAAACCCTACTAAAACGTTAAAGCCTTTCTATGAAGGCCGGCTGCTTCGTGACCACCGCGGAATCCGCACTCTTCGAGCTCCTCCGCTCGAAGGACGCGTGCGGGCCTGAGCCGAGGGCTTTTGAGTTTAGGCTGGAGGATTTACAGTCTGGGGTTGAAGGCTAGAGGAGTTGGGGAGGGTGCAGAAATTATGGGGTTTGGTGTTAAAGGTCTGGGGTGAGGGCGTTGAGGATACCTGCCTCATCGTTCACCTCGTCGGCACACCGGGCTTTCTTATGCTTCCTTTCGAGCTTTCTGGTCGACGGTTCGTCTAGAGTCTAGGAGGCTTCTGGATTCCTGGGGTTTCTTGTGGAAACCCTAAACCCTAAACCCTAAACCCTAAACCCTAATCCCTAAACCCTAACCCTAAGGGGCTTCTTCAACTCACGTAGCAAGCCTGAACCTGCATGTCACCGTCATCACTTTGCCTTCTCATCCAGCAGATGACCTACTCAAGTCGTCCTGGGTTGTCAGACCCTAAGCCTTAAACCCTATACCTTCAACCCCCAGCCCTCAATCCTCAACCCAAAACCCTAAACTCTGAATCCCAAAACCCTAAACCCTCAATCCTAAACCCTAAGCCCTATACCTTCACTCCTAAACCCCAAAACCATAAATCAAAAAAGTCCCGAAACCCAAAACGCTAGACCCGAAACCCTACATCTCCAACCCTAAACCCTAAACCCAAAACCCTCCTGTACCTACCCAGGCCCCAGTTCAAGGCGGTGTCTGGCGTGGTCAAAGCCTACGGCGACAAGCTGCGGAGTCTGAAGACCGCAGGAAGCGGTGGCTACTAAGGGGTTTTTGGGTTTGGGATTTAGGGTTAGGACTTTTGGGGGTGAGGATTGAGGGTGTAGGATTCCGGCATTTAGGATTTAGGGTTTGAGGATATGCGGGTCATTGTAGGGGTTTGGGGCAGGAAACACGCCTTATGCTAGGATCTTCTGAAGTGATCGGAGCTGTTCGAGAGTCTCCCAGCCCCTCAACCCGGGTAGTTGGAGCTCGAACCCGACAGGCCCGACATTGTACGAGGTTTAGGGTTTAGGGTTCCTCAACCCTTCCATTTTTCCTTTTTGCGGCCGACTTCGCAGACTTGGCTTCATGCTTTGCTTGGAAAAAGGTGCAGAGCGAGGTGATTGAGAAGATGTAGAGGCAGAATCCCTTTATGATCCTTATCATAAGGATCAAGACCCCTAAACCCTAAACCCTGTTCCAACTATTATGGTGCCATATATTGGACTGAAGATGCCACATCCCCAAAGGCCGCAGTACTCTCCAAGCCCTCAAAGACCGCGCGCCATGGAACCTCAAACATTACTTGGAGGTTCATGGACTTAGTCAGTACAGTTATAAGTACCTTAATTGGGGTTATACTTACTTATAAGTATAGTTATCTTATTTATGACCCTAGTTATTAAGTCCCATGAACCTCCAAGTAAGACAACTTTAGCCACCAGGCTCTACAGAAACGCCCTAAACCCTACACCTGACTGGAAGGTTAAGACCTGAACCCCAAACCCTCATAATGCCTGCCCCGGGCACCTTGGGATTGCGAAGAGAAAATCTGTTTAACAAAAACCTGTACTCACATGCAGGCCCCCCAACTTAAAGCACATAAATTATGTACCGGCCACACATCCCGAACCCGCTGCCCTAACGGGACGTTCTTCTTCGTCTTCTCCTTCTTATGCCTCTTCTTCTTATCGTGTACTGTTTCTCTTGCTGCAAATGCCGTTATCGATATTATTGTTTTCGTGTCATCACGGTTATGGCTAATGATTAAGAACTTGACTTTGGGCTCTGTGCCCCAAACGCTCTAGGACATGTTGACCCTCGAAGTGTGCTCTTGGCCTTACGCCTGGGGTTTTTGGTCTAGGTCTTCGGTTTCATCGTCAGTTTAGCGTTTGGGGTGGTGGGCCTAAGACTGGACTTTAGGGGTTCTTTAGAAGGTGATTATCCGGCGTTCTGTAAGGTTCTATGATACAAGAGTTCTTGCGACGATAATGTGGTATGTATTCAGGCTTCCTTACCAGAACAGCGGTTTAAGGTTTCGGATCTGGCATAAAGGATTTTGAGGTTTCGGGTCAAGGGTCTGGGGTTTCGGGTTACGGGTTTACGAATGATTGTTTCGGGCTTGCGGTTTGGTGGCCTGTGACGTTGCATGGAGTCACCCTGGGCAAATTTCATGCAGAAGCGACTTATTGTGGTCTGGGCGATGAAATCCTATAGCAGCATCCACAACCAAGTCTACTTCTGCCCGTGTTGACTGCTGGCCTGCCAACTTGCCAAACTTATGCGAAAAGCCAATCAGAATCTGAACAAGGAGCTGCGTCTCTGCACGATTCCGAAGCACAACAGACTAAACCCAGTCAGAAAAACCTTGGTTTAGAGTTCAGGACTGAGGGTTCAGGGCTTAGGGTTGAAGGCCTAGAATTTGCGATTTTCTAGCTGTTCGGATCTAGGGTTCAGGTTTGTAGGGAGAAGCCCTAAACCCGAAACCACAAACCCTAAACCCTAAACCTTAAAACCTCGTCGAGTTTCAGCACGTCACGCAGGAGCCGGCGCTGGTGCTCACCAGCGAGCACCCGCTGCCGTGCTCCAGGCGGCTGGGATACGTGGGTCGGCGGGCCCACCAGATGGGCCTGCACGCCGGCAAGCCGGAGGACGCAGCGCTCCTGGCTGCCCTCGACACCGCCGACCGGCAGATCCGCCACGTGGGCAGTGGCTTAGTGGAGGAGTTTAAGTTGATTTGCCTGAGGCAAGTGTCTGCAGAGTCCATAGTGGAGCCCACACAAGTTCGGGAGCTTGGACTAGCCGTTGTACCTTTTTTTGCTGGGGGGACTAATCACTACAAATGATTGCGAGTGCGTCCGTGTGATGGCCTTGCCCAGAGCCTCGCATGGGTTCGCGGCTTACTCTGTGGAGCAAGCCAGTAGTTGCGCTGGAAGTGGGTGTGGCAAGAAAAAACCCGCCTTGTTTGCCACGATGCCTCTGTCGTCGGGGCCTTTGATGCTTCTTTTTTGCGGGCAATCAGGTCTATACCCAGTGTTGCTGCTGCTAGGCCGGAACAGGTCGCAAAGACTCTGCCTGCGAAGTTCTCGGCCGAGCAAGTCGCCGAGATCTTCAAGGCCAGTCTCATACAAGGTGTGTGCTTGGTGCTCGACTTCGATGCTGTGGGACAGGCCTTGCCCCTGGAGAAGCGTGTGGAGGTGGCGAAGCTCGTCCGCGCGGTGCTCTGGCTTTGTGGGATTAGAGCAGGCTTACGCTATTTGTGTGAGGCTCGACGGTAGAGAGCGACGTGAACCCCAAGGCTGCATGCCACATCTTGGGGTTGTCTGTTGTTGTGTGAGCGCGGCCGGTTCCAGGCCTGTTGCATTTGTGGTCGGACGTGCCTTGCGGCAGTCAGCAGCGCAGAACACCTGCGTGTTGCTGCCGCAAGGGGCTGGAAGACGCAGTCGGTCCCCGAGAGCTTAGTTTGGAACCATGTCATGCGTTTCTCAGACGTCGTAGACAGGTCGTGGGATGTCATGTTCGCGGGCCAGTCCTTGTGCAATACGCATTGGTCAAAGCTCTCCCGCCAGGTCGGGGTTGTTGGAGTCGAGGAGTGCGCATGTTCTTACCTTTCTAGTTGGGCGAAGTTACTGATGAGAAGAACCCGGGCAGGAAGCGGAAGCAGGCTGTCTTGGTAGGCTGTCGGAGATGTGCCAGCCGAATCCTGTGCGCAGGCGGATTTGGAAGCTGAAGGTGAGTCTGCAAAGTAGACTGCAGCCGACGCTTGCTATGAGCCCAAAATGATGCCTAAAGCTACTTGGACGCACGTCTACGTGTCCATGGAGTTCCCACGAACACACGGTCAGTGGGCGAGCCTGTTTACGATCTAGAGTACGTCGACGATGCGCTATTGATGGGGTCAGGTAGGAGCGAACCAATGAATTTCTAAAGGGGCCTCAGGTAGAAGCAACCCTCTACGAAATGTTGTTAAGCCCTATCAGCGTACCGTACTTGGATACACAGGCATTTTCGGACAGCCCAACGAAAATAGCAATCGGAGATCGCAAAAACAGAACACAGGCAACTTGCACATGAAGCTGCGGCAGCCCTGACACAGCAAGCTAAACTCCAGGACCAAGGTTGAAGTATTCAGCTGTGCAATCGTGCCGGCCCTATTTATAGCTTTGATACTCTTACACGTGAGATACATCACTTCAAAACCATCGACGCCTAATGTCACAATTTTTTGCGGAGATGCATAGGAGTCGAGAGCATATTATTCCCACATGAGCAATCGCAGGGTGGTGCTTGGAGGCCGACCCAAACTCCCAGATCCTACAACAACAAGTAGTTTTGCAACTATGCAAGGCTCTGGTTACGCAGCCTAGCGATCCAGTTCACCACGTAGTCTTATCGCCGGGATACAGGGGTCGTATTAAGTGCACGAAGTCTGCTCATAGAGCACGTCCCCAGCGCTTCTGGTTGGAGCGAGTAACCAGCTCTTCAAGCACACCTTGACCACACCGCCTCAGACAGCAGAAGGGAGTAAATTATTTGGACAAAAACGATACTTAAACATGCACACGGAATATAGCCTATAATTGGAGACTGCGCCGACGCACTCGTCCCACTCAGCGCTCGGATGCGCATGGCAATTGCAAAAGCAAGCTTAAAACCTGGACCCTAAGCCCTAGCGAAACGGGGATCAACAAACACGACCCTAACTGCTAACCCTAAGCACGCAACCCCAAGCCCTAAACTGGCAGGTTACCGTCGGGGTAGAGTTTGGCTCGCGAACGGTCGATGTGCAGGGGCCTGGCCCTCGGAATGATCGGTGCTGGGTTTGTTCTGGGGACTGCAAGGTTTCGGCTGTAGGTCCAGGTTGCTCAAATGGTAAATCTCACCCTGAAGCCGGCACCTTAAACTTGAGGTTTGGAGTGAGTGGTTTGCGGCTTAAGGTTTGGAATTTAGAGTTTAGGGTTCAAGCCTTGGAGATCAGGGATTGTACATTACGTGGAGATTCATTGGACTTAGTAAGTACAGCTATAAGTTACCTACATGAATTGGGGTTATGTGCGCATGACTACGTGTCTTGTAACTTTAGTTACTGGGTCCCATGAGCCTTTGCGTCTAAACTTGAAGTAAGGTGTAAAACCGCCAAACGACAAACCTTAAAGACCGAAGCTTGAAATTCTCCACAGTAGCCTCAGGCATTGAACCAATTTAGGGTTTAGTGTTTAGGGGTTTAGGGTTTTATTTGGGGGGTTTAATGTTTAGGGGTTTAGGGCTTATGTCTGGCTTCCTATCTGCATTAGGCATCTCAGGTGCGGCGTTTGCGCATTGGGCGCTTAACCTAGAATCGTGTATTCCGGGTGTCCTGATTGACAAGCAAAAGAACGAAAACGGGGTTATTGAAACCCTAAACCTTAAGCCCTAAACCCCTAAACCCCTTAAGCCCTAAACCTTAACCCTAAACCCTAAAACCCTAAAGCCCTAAACCCCTTAACCCCTAGACCCTTAACCCTGAACTCCAAAACCCTAAACCCTTTAACCCCTACACCCGAAACCCTAAACCCTAAACCCCTTAACCCCTAAACCCTTAACCCTAAACCCCTAAAGCCCTAAACCCCTTAACCCCTAAACCCTAAACCTACGGAAGCTGGTAGCTTCGGGTTTGAGGTTCAGCCGGCTCCTCTGCACTATCAAAGCTATCCGGGAGTTTCCGAAAATAGGGGTACCTTATTTTGGGGTCCTTATAATAAGGATACTACTATTTAGGGCCCTAAACCCTAAACCCTAAACCCTA